AATCTTCATCCTTTTTTTTGCATTTTACATCATCTACCTTCCCCCTGAATACTTTGATCAATGAAATTTATTTCGAATCCATTGTTATCAATATCTGTTTATCTGAATAAAAAAAGTTGCATGATGAGTTCGAGAAAGAGGAGGAGGAGGGACAAAATAGTTCTGATGATTATGAGAAAAAAAGTTCTGGTTCTAATTTCGATTCTGATTTATATTACCCTGTGTTCTGGACAGTTTATGATAAATCATTGGTTTTTGAATAAATTGTTTCCAACCTTTCAACTTGAATCTACGTTGAATTTAAATTACACAAAGAACTAAATTTACTTTTAATTTGATGATTAAATTTACATATTTACAATTTTCACTTGTACCTTTGGTATATACAGGAAGATGAGAGAGAGAGAGAGAGAGAGGAAAAGAACCATTGAGAACAAACATTTTCTCGATTATCTTATTTGATGATCGAATTTTAAAAACTCAGAATTTCAATACCAAAAAATAAATTCTAAACTGGAATATGTATTATTTTGTATGTACATGGAAAAAGAAGCGAGAATAAATCACTGAGAATTCTTATTGTTCTGCAAGTTTTCTGGTAGAATTTTCGAAACCAGAGTAATAGTTACCATATGAGAGAAGAATAAAAAAGTTCTGAGGTTATCATGAAATCCATATGGAAACCAAGTAACAACAATAACGATGTTAAAAATAGACCTTGAACTTCAATATGATAATAACTTTGACTGACCAAGTGAACTATAAAATCTCACTTGGTCAGTTTATCATAATATTAAAATGAAAAGCCGCCTGATTATCATTATTATTACATTATCATGTTAATTTTGGTGATGAAGAATTGGATTAAGATTGAGTTTGCTCAAAATGAATCATAAATTATGTTCAGTCATGAACACAATCAAAATTAACAACAATTGAAAAAAGTTATTACATTAACATTAATTTAATAATAATGTAATATAATTATGATAATAAATTATAATGAATGAAAAAAAAAGCCTTTTGATTATCTTGATGATAATTAAGGTTGGAAAGCTTTTAATTAAATGATAATCAGATGAAGATTATGATTATTTGGTGATTAACATTTGCAAACTGATTCCCATGATTAACGCATGAAATATTAATTATTATGATGGAAAGTTGATCTTGCTCGTCTTATGGATGATATTTTAATAACCATTAGGATGATCATGATAGTTTTTATCATCATTTTTATGATTAGTTTATTGTTAATATTATGATTATCATGAAAAATTCAATTCGATTCACAGTTGTCAAGACAATTTAATATAACTCATCATCTTAACCCCTTTGGATGTTAATGTTACCGATTGTGAAGAGACTGTGATGATTATTGTTCAGTGGGAGTTGATGGGAGGAAGAGGAGGAGAAGGAGGAAGATGAATTAATGAAAAGAGATGATGAGGATGAGGAAGAAAAGAGTTTTTTTCATCTTCCATTATGTTCCAATGTTAATGATAATCATTATAATAAAATGAATTTCAAGATAACTTAAGTTTCGAAGGAGAAAAATAAATTAGTCATGAAGGTGGAGTTTTTTTTTCTCTCTCAAAGTATAATGAGAATATTAAAGTTGGGGTGGTGGATGAATAATTCTAAAAGAGGAGGATGATGATTATGAGAGTGAGAGAGGATGAGGAGGAGGTGGATGATGATTAGAGCGAAATAATAATAATAATAAAGAGGAAAAGGAAAAGGATTGTTTATCTCATTTGAATCATTTAATTTGTTATCAATTCTGTGATTGGATTTTTCATTTTCATCTAATTTATTCAACAATTTACATCTTCCATCATCAGTTTGCTTTTTACCCCTTTACATCCTCATCCTCATCCTCATCTTCATCTCAAACCTTTCATAATATAAGGTTGACTATAAATCCAATTCCATTTCTATCTTAATCACAACAAAGGAAACTGATGATTTCCCTAAAAATGATGAAGATGCTCAAGTTGAAATATCTTTTTCATCATCTTAGGAAAAGAGAAACTTTATTTTTAATTCATTATTTATTTATATGAATTCTCATCATGATAAAAATGATGATGAAACTGATGAAGAAATAAATTATGTAGTTTTTTTGTGTTATCATTTTTTTCTTCCTCTGAGGATGATGATGATGATGATGATGATGAAAAAAAGAGAAGATGAAAATATATATTACAAAGGCAATCAAGCAAAAGAAAGAAAAAAAAGCAAAGGGTTTTGTCGTCTTCTCATCCATTGAGAAAAAATTTTCTTCTACTGAGATATTATTTCTTTTGCTCCAATTGATGAACTGATGATGAGATGATGCATAATGATGATGAGCCTCATCATCTTCCTCTTTCTCTCTTCCTGCATCATCTCTGTCTGTACATAAAGAGTTGCTTTATCATCTTCATCATCCATTCATGTCTTCAGGCATCACTCTAATAACCTTATTTCACTTTAACTGAAAGAAGAAAAAAAAACTTTTCTTTTCAGAATTGATTCTGAACTTTTCATTAGAAACTTTTTTCATTCAATTTGATTCCAATGTGATCATATCATTATGATAATGGTAATGATTGTGATAATCGATATTATCTGCTGAACAATTTCACCTAATGGTGAAAATATCTAATCATAATCATAATAAAAGTTTCGCCATCATTATTACCTTAGATGAAAATTATTATCGTTTTTATTACAGGTTAAGATTCAGTTTCTTTTTGCTCATTTCATGAGTTGGATTTTTCCTTTTCGCTTCGAGCATTACAATCATTGATCACTTTCTCTCTCCCTCTATCATCATTATCATCTTCCTTATTTACTGTAGTGTAGTAAAAAACCTCATCATCTTGATCATCATACAAAGTCATTTTTCATTCAAACCTTTTGCTCCTCATCTTTTTTACAATAACTACATGAGCAGCAACATGATGATGATTAGAATGATAGAAATGAGGATGAAAAAAAGATAGATCACTTTCATCATTTGACGAGTCATCCCCATCATCATCATTAATCAAGAGCAGCCTTCATCCACCCACCCCACCCTTTACCAACCACCATCACCACTACAATCGCCTCCTCCTCCTCCTACCACTCTTACCCCTCTCGCCCCTTCATAAGTAATCAGTTTACTCTGATTTTTTCCTCTTCTCACCAATGTTAACATAACAAACCCCATTCAGTTTCATCCTCATCCTCATCTTCATCATCTTGTTTTGTTGAAATTTAAAAATTTTACAAAAGCACAAAGATAATTTTAAAAGATATGCAAATGGATTCAAATTTCTTGAGGCTGATGATCAAGAAGATAATGATGATGAGCAGAGGAAAAGAAGATGAGAAAAAAAAACTTTCTCTTCTCATTTTCCATCTTCATCCTTTGATCTGTTATTTTTGATGATCAAGAGAAAGATGAAGATAAAGATGATAAGTGATGCACGCACCTTACAACTGATTTTTTTCTCAAAATTAATGATGAAAATTTGTTTTGGTAACAATTTACTTCCATCATCTTCTATTAGTTTCTATTGGTAACCTTCATATTCATAATAATAATCATCATTATGATTATTACTCTTGAAGAAAAAAGTAAGAGAGAAAAAAATTCTCCCTAAAAAGAAGGAAAAAAAACTTTTCCTGTTATTATTTTCCTTTCATTCTCATAATAATAATAATCTTCATCTTCCTCATCATCATCATCATAACAATAATAATAATAAATGATAATAATAAGTTACCTTTACGAACGAAAATGTTTATAATCAACTTTTTCCTCCTTTTCTGTAGTTATGTTATTACTTTGAGAGATAAATAATAACAGTGGATGATGATGATGATTGTATATAATTTCATCATCTCCACCGCTCCCCCACCTCCTCCACCTCATCATCATCATATTATTATTATGTTTTTTCCTGATAACGTAAATAATAATAGGATAACCTCCCATTTAGTGCTAATATTTTGAAAGGGAACCTGGAAAAAGGTAAAACCATTGATTCAAAATGGAAGATGAAAAATTTTCTCTCTCATTTTAATTTATCATCTTTCAAATTCATATTATTATCTTTCTAATCATTAGACTAACAATCATCAGAATTCAAGGTAAATCATTACATTGGTTTGATTGAGAAGGAAATTATAAGAGAAAAGAAAGATTCTTTTTAAAAATTGTTCTTTTTTTCTCCATCATTTTGAAAAGAGAAACTTATCTTCTCAACTCTTTTTTTCTCTTTGAGTTTATCCCCTTTTCTAATCTTCATCCTGCGCGATCATCAATTCACTTGAAAACCGATTTCTTCTCACAGAGAATGAGCAAAGTTCAGATTACAATTCGCCATTTCCTCTTCCTTTTTGTCTTCAACCAGAGAAAAGAAACAAAACCAAAACCCAAAAAGAAAAGAAAAACTTGAAATTCGCTTGTTGTGATTACCATCATCGAATATCATCTTCTTCATCATCCAAAATAACAGAAGAAATAATTAAGTATCATAAAAATTCTGGAACAAAATAATAATCTCCTAAGTCTCTCTTCCATCCTTCACCCGCTCCCTCACTTCTCTCTCATCCTTATTATTACTTCTTCTATTATTATAAGCGATTATTATTATTATTACTTTTCTTTTTTTCCTCTCGCTGTTTTCTTTCCCTTTGTACCAGTCTTGCCCTCTCTCTCTCTCTCTCTCTCTATCATCATTATCATCTGCAATCAATTGTAATAATAATAAAAATAATAATAATCATTATCATCGTAATAATAGTAATCATCAATTTCGTTCTCAATGTTATTTTCCTTATGCACTTAGAGCGCGTTCCCCATATTCTGGCTTAACTTTTTTCGCTCTTTCTTTTCTTCTCTGTCGACATTTGTCGCATTTTCTATTTGTTTCTTATTTTTTTCTTCTCTTTCCCATTTTCTCTTTCTTTCCTTTCTTTTTCCCTCTCTCTTTCTATTTTCTTTCTTTTCTTTTAACTTTATCCTCTTCTCTATCTTCACCTTCATCTTCTTCTTCTTCTCTCTATCTCCTTCCAACAGCATGGTTAACATCATCATCTCATAATTATCATAATTTTCTGTGTCTTGGTGATATAATTTATTTTAATTTTTCTCTTTCCTTTCAAACCAAAAGCTTTTTCTCAGCCCTGATTATAATTTATTCAACTTAAAAGCCTCCTTTCCCTTATTATTATTATTTTTCATCATCTTCCTCCTCATCATCCTCCCTATCTTCATCTCTCTCTCCATGCTATTATTATTATTATTATTATAACTATTACTATAGTTATATTATTATTATGATGATGATAGCTAAACCTTAGCTATTATTAATATTATTATTACTATCATCACCATTATTATTATTATTATTACTTTTATTATTATTATTATATTACTTTACAATGACAACCTTCATTCAAACCTCTCACGGATCATACATAACACAACAACAACAACAACAAGCAACATCTCCTCCTAACCTTGTGAATACACTTTCATCTTGTTCATCATCAATTAATCCACAAGCCATTTACACCTCATCTTCATCGCCATCATCTTCAATCGTATCTGGATCATCAGCTACATTATCATCTTTACCTTTAGTATCTACATCACCATCCTCATCATCTCTAACTGATTTATCTGCACCAATATCATCCAATAGTAATAATACTACACTTTTAACCTCATCTTCTGGAGTTTCTTCGGTTTCACATCTTCAGTCTCACCAACAACAACAACAACAACTTTCACTTGCATCTTCTATTTCTGTTTCTGGTTCTTCCGTTGCCTCTGGTGTTGCTGGTGGTTCTTTTTCATCTTCATCTGAATCTCAGCTGATTCATACAACACAATCTTTCGGATCAAGTGCAACTACGCTTATATCAAGTCAAGGAGGTTCTTTGGTTTTGTCTCCACGAAATGTTCCTGGTTTATCTTCTTACTCTACAGCTAATCAAACAACAATCATGTTACCTTTACAAGGAAATGGAAATACCAACAATGGAACGGGATCTGTGAATGATCATCTAATTGGAAATCAAATTTTATCTTCTATCCCATCATCTCAACAAATTGTTAGTCCAATGGTTCCTCTTTTATTAACCAATGGTCAATTTATTTCCACTGGTATACCATCACAAGGAGCTTTTTCCTTACCTCAATCAAATTCAACCAGTTCTTCAGTGACACAATCAACAACAACATCAAGTCAACAATCTCACCCACAGTCACAACAATACCAATTTGGTAATTTTATTGGTACAAGTTTGGCTACATCTTTACCTAACAATGGATCGACACAATTTGTTACCAATGGATCTGGCCAAATATTTGCAATAAGTCCATCGATAATTAACAATCTTAATCAACAGCAATCATCAGCCATTAATTCACTACAAACCCATCAATCATCTTCAGCATTTATTCAAGTGGTCACTCCAAATGGAATCGCTTTAGTGCCAGCCAATCAAATCATTTCTGATCAACCATTAATGTCAACAATCAGTACTAATCAAATGGATAATAGCTCAATACACCAGCAACAACAACAATTACTTCAACAACACCAACAACAGACTCACCATAATAGTAATTCTGGTTTACCAGAAAGGGAAAGAACCAATAAACGTGGAAACCAGAAAAATTTTTACTCAAGGACTGAAGGCAGTGGTGGTCATAGTGGACCAAGTCATAGCCGAATGTTGAAAAAGTCCGCCTTGGCTCAAGCACAGTTACAGCAATTACAACAACAGCAAATGAATCAAGCAATACAAGTATCACTTTCATCTAGTGTATCAACTTCATCTACATCAACATCAACAACAAACACTAAAAATTCTGGTCGAATTGTTAATTCATCTAATCATGCTTTTGCCCCATCGTCTTTATCCTCTTTAACTTGTTATAATCGTTCAACTGATGTAAAAAAAATAACAATGAATAATAATAACAATTCTAGTAGTACAAATTGTTCAACCCAACAAGCCATGTATTTGGGTAATCAGACCAATACAATACCCAATTCAGTTGAATCGCAAACACCATCGCCTCCTCTATCAACAGCAAGCTCTATGGAACCAGAATCAAATCAAGCAACTGTAGCTCGTAAGTATAATCTAGATAAACAATGCGACAACAATTTAGACGATTGTTGTCTACGATACCAATCAATATCCTCAATTATCCTTGGATTATAATTTTTTGTATATTGATTATTGATTTCAATGTCTTTCCAACCATATTTTTCATCAGAAACGATAAACAATGGGGATGTTGCGGTTGTAGATGGTGTTAATTTGGAAGAAGTTAAAGAATTCGCTCGACAATTTAAATTACGTAGATTAAGTCTCGGATTAACACAAACTCAAGTTGGTCAAGCTTTATCAGCAACAGCAGGACCTTCATACAGTCAAAGTGCAATTTGCAGGTAAGATTTGTAATGGAGAAATGCAAATTTGGGTAAAACAATAATCCAAACAATAAATTTCATCTTCTAATGGATAACTTTTTATGTTTGATTTCAGGTTCGAAAAGCTTGATATTACTCCAAAAAGCGCATCGAAGATCAAACCAGTTCTAGAAAAGTGGATGCACGATCTTGAGATTCGATGCCGACAAGGAAACACCGATCCAGCGAGTTTCACTGGTAATCCTAATTCAAAGAAAAGAAAGAGACGAACATCTTTCTCGCCCTCGGCATTGGAAGTACTGAACATTTTCTTCGAGAAAAACACTCACCCTTCAAGTAGTGAGATGACAGAATTAGCCGATAAATTAAAATACGATCGGGAAGTAGTTCGAGTTTGGTTTTGTAATAAACGACAAGTTCTTCGTAATAATGTAAAAAAATCAGACCCTCCCTTGTCATTATTAACATTAACATCTCGAGCTGCTAAGGCGAAATCATCGGGAACTGTAACTACCGGAACATCAACAAATACCAACAATGGTTCAAATCCAAGTAACAATAATTCATTCAATTAGATTAATCTAATGCTTTTTAATTTTAACTATTTTTTTTCTCGTTCCAATTGATCTCATTCAATTTTAACTATTCTGACTACTATGTATTCATCTTATTATTTTACATTTAACAACCGCAAGTGTCACAATTTACATGTACAACTTTTCATCAAACAAATTCTCAACACCCAATATTTCATCATCTCATCAACAAGGATTATCAAATAATCCACTACCATAAATATATTATATGTACAGTATAATTTAAGCACCAAGTTTAACCAGATTTTCAAACGATGACCACAGAAAAGGATTGAATTTTAAACTTTTTAGATAATAGTCGACAGCCTTTTCGTATCGTTCCGTTTTACTACAAATTAAAGCCAACATTTGAGCTGCGAATGCGGCACTTTTACCAAATTCTTGTATAATGTCTTCTGACAAAGGACAAATTCTCCGAACAGTTAAATTTACCCAATAAAACCTCTTCGGTTTCACCATATTTTTAAGATCACAGCAACATCGGGCCAGTAATAAACGACATTCAGATGACCAAATAAATGATAATGAAAAGAAACGAAAAAGACAAATGAAAATTGACAAGACTCAAGATATTGTTCGTCAGCTCAACTTTTACACTTGATTTTTTTCGACTTACGATTCGCGACTTTTTTAGTAAAAAGATTCAATTTAATGAATCAACAATTAATTCAACATTCTAATGACGGCTAACACCTTTAAGACATAGAACGTACAAATTTAGCAATGAAATTCAAACTATTCGCGAAAGACGGGGTTGATTTACTATCGACGCTTAATATTCATTGTGTGGCAATTTGATTGTCTCAGGTTCTCCGCACCTTTTTCCGTCAATAGTGACCTTTGATGGCACAGTTAATTAAACAATTGCGTTAATGTATCGCCAATCTCTCTCCTCTGGTTCTCAGGAACAAATAGTAACCAGTTTATTCAATAGTAGAAAAATTTTCTTTTGGAATTTCAATTCATATTTGGTTTTTAGAACTTTTTTTGGTTAGTGTTTCTTTTTCTTTTCAATCCTTATTGAAAAAATTCTTTTTGATACTTGAGTATTCGGTAGAATCAATTGATTCGGTTGCTGCTTGAACATAACACCAAGTGCGACCTGCTCGACATCCTCCTCCACATTTTGGTGATTTACACTTGGGACAATTGAAATGACAACCAGGACAAACAACAGAGAGACAATCACATAGATCACGTCCTGACTCAATGTGAACACCTTTCTCATCGTAAACAGCTTTAGATGAATGGACAGGGTTGAATGTTGATGTTGTTCCTTCTAATCGACGTTTTCGTCTTTCACGACGACTGTTCTCAGGCTGAAAATCTTCCATAAATCGACTTCTTCCAAGCTCTAATTCTCTTAAAATTCTATCACCAGCATTAGATGAATTACCAGCACTATTGACTGGACTGGTTCCATGAGAAGGCATATTTATACGCTTCTTTGGTAATCCTTGGCTCAACAATCAACCAATTCTTGTGGTTTTCCAAACAGACTAAACAAAAGCCATTTAATCAAAGCCCAAATTAAAAAGAGAATAATAAAACAGCAATAAAGAAACAAATTACAACAATTGATGGAAAAAATTACCAACAAGTTAACTGAAATTAAAATTAAAAAATTACAAACAACCACTACCAGTTAACTGATTCGTTGCTAGATAGCGCTGATTAAAAGCAACAATTTACCTTCCAGTTAATCTCTTCATGGTCCTTTTGGTTGACCATCTTCATCATCACCTTCATCTTTCAACAATTCGGGGATAAAATAGCTCAAAATTAATACGTTATTCAATAACAATCAATGATACCAATTGTTTTTCACTCCATCGAAATGAATCATTTCAAATGATAAACATTCAGTTCTGTGATGTGAACTCCATCTAGCGACCAATAGACTAACTCATCATATAATCAATTTTTCGTATTAATGTGTTTAAACAATTTGTTTATTATTGTTTATCATTCATTCATTGATTTATTCAAGTTCTAGTTCATCATGATATTGAACTCAATTCAGAGTTATCATAATCATACTAATCTCGATCGATTAGTATTTATATCATATGACTACATCGATCAATTCAATATTGAATTGTCATGTTATATTCATATCATTTAATCAATGATTGATTTATTATTAACTCAGTTATTAATCATTGTCATCAATCTGATGTTGGTAATCAATCTGTTGAATCCATCTTGATACTCTCGATATTCATGTATTTGTTCTAATTTTTCTCATTGGTTAAACAATTTGTTTACTTTGTTTAATTTCATTATTTTATTAATTCAAGTTTATTTTCATATCAATTCGATTAGATTTGGTTGAATGGTGAATATTTGATCATCTCGAAAGATTCGATTGCTCTGTTACACCAAACGATGAAGCGTTTGTTTGATCAGTTCTATTGACGAGAACATAATTTGCTCATTTTCATCCTTTTGTTGGTAAACTGTTGAAATCGGTCTTTCTAATCATGTTACTTTGTTTTGATCTTTAGTGTTGAATAATTGTTATGGATTTACACTATTTAACTGATGGTTGGCTAGAACTTGAATCAGACCCTGGACTGTTTACCCTTTTAGCTGAGGACTTCGGATGTAAATATGTTCAAGTGGAGGAAATTTATGATTTACAAAAGCCGAATCTTGTTGATGGACCAGTTTATGGATTCATTTTTCTATTCAAATGGATAGAAGAACGACGGTCAAGGTCTCGTCATCTCTCCTTACACAGTAGTTCCAATTATCCTTCCAGCAGTAGTGGTCCATCTGCGGTCACTACTAATTGTAACATATCTAAAGAATCTACTGTCCACAAGCCTACATTTGTCGAAGACGAAGTCCTGGTCAATTCAATGTTCTTTGCTCATCAAATTATTCCAAATTCATGTGCAACTCATGCTATTCTTAGCGTCCTATTAAACTGTCCCACTATTGATCTCGGACCAGTGTTGGACAGATTAAAAGATCACACCAAAGACATGGCTCCTGAGGATAAAGGATACGCTATCAGTAACACACCTGAGCTTTGTAAAGCTCACAATTCACATGCCTCTCATGAGGAAAAAATCGGTAAATAGTTTGTTGAACTTACAATTCAACTTCTGATTTCTTTTACTAACATTTTCTTCTTTATCTTTTTCTTTTTCTACAGAAAGAAAAGTCTCTTATTCAACAAGACCAAACTCTATTCAAAGAGGTTCGTCTCCGGACTCTTTTCACTTTGTCAGCTATGTACCAATCAATAATCATCTTTATGAACTTGATGGATTGAAAAAGTTTCCAGTTGATCATGGACCTGTTGACGAAAAAGAGGAATGGTCTGAAAAGTTTAGAAAAGTAATTACCCAAAGGATATCTGAAGAAACTCAATCTAATCGTTTCTCCGAAAGTCAATCATCCAATCACGATATTAGGTACAATTTAATGGCAGTTGTTCCCAATCGCCGATCAGTTCTTCTCAAAAAGTTAAAGACATTAAAAACCAGTCGCCATCTTGTTCTTGAAGCATTAGAAAAGATAATGAGACCAACTCGACTACCTGAACCATTCGACTGTCATAACTACTCTAAATATCCTTCAACTATTGAATATAATGCAACTCACTCTTTTCAAATAATCGGACCCGATAATTCATCTTCCGGTGATCAAACAAATATCATGACAGTTGCAAGCGCCTTAGCAAATACACCATTGTCAATTCACAATACAGGATCACCAGGGAACTCATCGTCCACTGAAACAGCATCTGAAGTGGGAAGTGCTTTCAACTCACCTCATCGCATTGAAAGGGATAATAACAACGAGATAGATGAAAATAAAGTAAACAATTTAATTGATTTTAAAATAACAAGTGACATAAAAATTGATCAAAAAACGGCTAAACTACTTGAAGAATTGATCGCCTCTAGAGAAACACCAGCATCTCTTTCAAAGACAATTAATCCACAAGATTTAATCACAGTGTATAAAGTGATCAGCACTGAAATTGTTGAATGTGAACAAAATCTACGTGAAGAATTGGAGAAAAGGAAACGATACAAGTTAGATGATTCAAGAAGAATACACAATTACGATGAATTTATCAACACCTTTTTACTTATGTTGGCCGAGCAGAAGAAATTACCTGATCTTTTGGAAAATGCTCTTTTCGGTGGTAACATTGGTACTACAACAACTGAGATTAATGAAAACTCTCAGGGCGATTGTCAATCTCCATCCGCTTTTCTCACCGAAGTTGCCACCTCATTCGATAAAATTAAAAAGAAAACCGATTCAACTCGACTCAAGAATCCAACCAAAAATAAGAAAAGTAAACCTTGTGAATATGTACCATATTGTCGTAATCGACCCGAACGAACCAGAACCAGAAGGTAATCGAACTCATCAATTTCATCATTCGATTGTCATACTTTTATTTATATCTGACCTTTGACAAAATTGTCAAACAAAAAAGTCTTCAAGTGAATTAAAATGTTCATCATTTCAACGAAAAATAAAATACACCTTTATTTCATTATAAATGAAGCCTTATTGAAAACGGTGTCGCAAAATTTGACTTAAAAACAATAATCAAAACGAATATTTGAACAAATTGATCTCGAAAATTGAAAATTCCACAGGTAATTTTTTGAAATTCGCGCTTTACTTTTAGAAAGAGAATAAAATTTACCTTCTTTTCTTCTGTCTAATTCTCTGTCTTCTGTCTGTTGTTTTGATTCTGAAAAGAAAAGATTATTTTATATTAATTATTTTCATGGATTCTTTTTGATAATTAATTTAATTGTTCTCTTGCTGTTTTACTATGGCAGCGATTAGGCGATTCTCCAGTCAACTGATTCGTGACAAAAGTTATGTTTCCAGTGCTCATCCAAAGTCACACATTAATTTAATCGCAAACGCTGTTCCTCAAGATGAAAGTGATTCTGAGAAAAATTATCGAAAATTATTTGAAGAGAATCAACTTTGGAATCACAACTACTGGCAAGATAATAATACTAGATTTCTAAAGGTATTGATGTTGTTTCTTTCTTCCCGTTACTGTCTTTATGTTCTCTTTATCCCTGCTTCAATATTTTCATTATCTTATTCATTTTATGTTTACTTCTCTCCACAGGAAAAGGCTGAATTCATAGAGAAACAAAGATTACAACAAGGTGACGATTCCATAGCATTTTCTCAAGAAGATTTGATACCATTTTATAAAGAATTTCTTGATAAAAATTACAATAAACACATCGAATACAATAGGTGAGTGTTAAATCCTCACAGCTAAGATTATATATTCTCCTGCAAAAACAAGTTACTCCACCCAAAAGAGACCACTAACCTATCATTAATTTTCACTTATCTTTTCATGTCCCACAGAGAGTGGTACCGTCGACAGTTCAAGCTCCTTATTCCGGCCTTTCAAGCTTATCTGGCATCTAAGAAAAGATCATTGAAAAGGTTTTTTCCTTCATCACGTTGAAATTATATAATCATAGGCTTTAATGTACTTTAGAATTTAGGTAGGTGTCATTTGGTTTTCTTTTCCAAAATGATTATTGTTCTTTTTTGTCGCACTTCTTCTCTGGAATCAATTTCAATAGAAAATGAGATTTGATTTTCGTAATGTGCAAACATTAATTGTAACCACAGGGCAGTGCAACTTTTAGACCTTTGTTGATCTGGTAGTATAAGTTACTAACATTTTCCATGTATTCTATTTCTTTTAGGTTAATCACCTTGATGGACTAATCAAATTGAGAGAACCAGATGATATCTAGTCAACATTTTAATTCATCTAAAAATCTTTCATGTCCTTTAACAACTAAAAACTTGAACCAAATGAACAGTGTTAATAACAATTGAATCCATTAACGATAATTAATTGTTAAAAGATTAATATATAAAAGAGATTGTCAAGATTATTGTCAATCTGTATTTCCAGCGGATTATTAAATTTGTATTTGTCCAATTTGATGAATTGAAGATAATCATCATTAAAAACCATGGAGAAGTTGAAAATGAAAACAACAACAAAGCAAAAATATTATCGATCAAATAGATTTGGAGGATTCCCACTAATTGGATTAATCGGGAAGCTTGGAAAGATTCAATGTTAAAACAAGGAGTTAAAAGGGATAAGATTAACTTGTAAATCACTTTCTCTTTTTGGATTAAAGCCAAAAAATTAAACAGCAAACAGATTGTGAGAGGGTCAACTACTGTTTCCATGAATAAATGTTTATTTTATATTTTCATTTGGCTGAGATTGAAAATATAACTAGTGAACTTTAGTTACACCAAAAGCAGAAACAAAAGTATCAACAATCAGATGATCCAATTGTATTTTGCTAATCCAAAATTCTCATTAATCATCACCCAAAAACTGAACACCGATCAACCGGAGAAGCCAAAAAATTGGATATCATGTTGTGGACACAGTTGTTAATTGTTCTAATTGAGAGAAAAAGATAAACAGAAAAAAGAAACATAATTAACTGTTAGTTAATTAAATCTCCACCCGAGGTAGTCACTCTCTTCCACCTTCACCTTTTGATGGAAATGAGAGAGAGAGAGAGAGAGAGATTGCGCTTCTCTTATTTACTTGAGTTTTCTAAAGTGGGAAGATAGAGGAAGAGAGAAGATGATTTTGATCTTTTTCGCTAATTAAATGTGCGATCATTGAGTGTTAATAATTGAATTGTAATTGTGTCTTTCGTTTAAGCTGTTCGATTGGCTCGATAATCGCCATCACCGTGATCGCTTCTTTGTAACAACAATCGAAATACTTACCTACCACCTGTCGTCTTTTTCTTTTTTCTGTCGCAATTTTTTGTGTTTTTTTCTTCACTTTTAAAAGGACAAAATCTTCGCTTTTTCTTCAACATCATTTGTCTTCATATTCTTTTTTAGTCATTTTCTTTTTTTCCTCAGTGTTTTTTTTGTTCTTTTTAGAATCTTCTTTTTCTCTCTCAATATTTATATTCTCTTTCTGTGTGTGTCTTGTATCTCTATTCACATCAACCATGGAACTTGGCTCTTCATCTTACTGTTCATCTTCCATGATGAACCATCAATATCATCACCAATCTCAGCCTTTGTATCAAAATTATCATTCACCTAAGCAAAGATGCATCAGTACCTTGGAAGAGGTAAAATCTTTGATTATTAATCTAAGAACAAAGAAGAAAAAGAAAGAAATGGATTCAGCAATCAATAAGATTGAAGAAGTGATTCAAACAATTAAAGTAACCATGTCCGATTCAACTACACCCGCTTTACGACCTATTGATCAAATTATCTTGGAAAAGCTTGAAAAGATTGAATCAAAATCTAAAACCATTGAAGGTTCACATTCAATGGTCAATAACAAACCAGTGTCACCAACTACTGTCCTCCTCAAACCTACAGATGAAACTATTTCACCTCAACAATTAGGTGCAAAATTAATTGACTTAATTAAAAATGATTCAACCCTTAAATTGGAGACAACTACAATTGGTACCAATGGTATTCAATTGAGCTCTTTTCATAGTGATATCAAGAATAAGATTGAAAATTTAATCAAACAACATCATCTTGATTCGCAAGTTGATTTGATCGAATTAAAGAAAATGTCACCACAAATCGATTTGACTATCACATCAAAACCTCGATTTGAAAGAGAAGATCTTTACAAAGAACTCACCAAAAGAACTGCTGAACGGGTAAGTGTTACAATTCGCGATTTATTTCCCTTTTCGAGTAATTCGATTGAAATTGATTCCAATTTTTTCCCTTCTTCCATTTTGGAAACTATATTTAGCATTCGAGTCTTTCAAGACAAGGAAGTGAGAGTAGCTCAGGAAGTGAAACTTACATGGATGGACAAGGGAGATTATTCCGAACACCTTCAGCAACAACACCATCATCCCTCTCAGTAGCACCGACAAGCCAACAACAACACACCTATGATTCATCATCGGTAAACCTAAACAATGGTAGTGGTAACATGAATACTTATAACAGTCTGAATAATATCAACATCTATGAGTCTAATCAGATGATTCATATGGATGAATCTATTTATGGCCGTAGTAAGAGGTCTTATCCTCATCTTCCGCCGAAACCATTAAGTGTCAATGTCGGTGGCGGCGGCAGTTCTTGTGATTATGGTGTCACTGGTCGGATAAGTGGGATTACTTCTGATATCAATAGACGTGTTTCTAATCACGATGTATTATATTCAATTGATGCTTCCTCTTCATCGGCATCTTCTTCAGTGTCAACATCACAATTCAACAGAGGCGGTGATTGTAAGATAAATAATATCAAGGATAATATAAATGGAGGTCATACAACATCATCTTCTGTATCATCAACAGCGGTGTCAGAGGAATGTCAACAAATTTGTGCCATCTTTGGTGACCTTTCAACTTCTAACGGTGGTGGTGGTGAAAGTAACCTTGCATGTTCAGAAGGTTCGATTACGCCAACCAACCCTGATCGAAGTAGCTCTCCAACAAATGAAAATTCACCTTCAAGTCTTACATCATCAACCTCTTCAAGTACAAATCGTGATCCTGTCCAATTTTCTGCCTTGAAATCAGCCAAATCTTTTCCCGGTAACCCGATAGCCGAATCATTATACTCATCAACTGGAACTTTATCCAGGTCATCAAATAAACCTGCGCCACCTCCTCCCGTTCGTAAAACCTCATCCATCTCAGATCCAAATGCTATCACCTTAGGTACCCTACGAAATGCCGGTTGTTCAACTTATGAAGAAATTAAAACTTTAAAACGTAATGTACGAAATCACAGCGGTAACGGAGGTTATAACACATACGAAGAGTTAAATTCTGATCGTAATGCTGTTTATCATGCAGCGAGAAAAAGTTGCCTCTCAACATCACTCACTTCCCTAGTGGAGCCCATTTATTCAACTCTTGATTCAAACACAATCAGCATCTCAAATCCTTTCAATTCCAAGATTGTGACCATCAACACCTCAAGTCATCGAGTCAGCCGACGAGATGAGCCTTGTAGTAAAAGTTATTCAGCTACAACCGATTCACTAAACCATCAGCATCAACATTCAACATCCACAGCATCACGTCCACCCTCATCAGCAACTCTTTCAAATTATCAATCTTCATCTTTAATGAAACAAAGGAATGACGATGACAGTTTACCTCCTCCACCTCCCGAAGCTTACATTGATTCATCTGGAGATAATCATCATAATTCACATAACCGAATCGTGCTTACTAGACGAGAGTTCTTGCAAACACTTAATGCCAAATTATCAGTACCTCAAAATCAACGGGTTAGTCCAAAACTCGTGAAAAGACGTAGCATGTCTTTACCTCATTCAGATCAAGAATGGGACTCAGATTCTGGTATAACAACTCAATCATCATCTTCAGGTGAATCTGGTTCATTAGGATCATCAACACAATCGGAATCATTCACTCAGTCTTTGGTTAATCAACTAACATGGTGGTCAAAGTTTTGAATGGAGAAAGTGAGTCTCTCTCTCTCTCTCTCCACTTTTTCATCAATCTTCAAGTCGAAACATTTGTTTTGACAAAACAAAAAACAAGGCAAACTTTCAATACTTTGGGCGTGGTAATGTGTATATTTTTTCAATGGATCTCTATTCATCAAGAATAATGTTTAATTTCTAGTCGAAATAACCAAAGCATCAAAAAAAAAACAAATCATGAACATAAAGAGGAAGATGAAGATGATAAAATAATCAAAACAAGGAACCAGAAAACAGGCAAAATTCACCTTCTCAAATGTTGGTTTATTTCTGTTTATCGCAATTACTGGAAAAAAATGAAAACATTGCGAATGGTCAACTATACAAATCAAAAAGATGGTCAAACAATTACAAATCTTAATGAAAAAAAAGTTACAAGTAATAATTGAATAGCATTTATAATAGTGCTAGTGATAATCATGCTATGCTTCATCATCATCAATACTAAATTTTGTTTTTCATCATCACATTGCAAAAGTATATTTACTTAATCTCAGGTGATGTTTATTCTTAAAAAGAAATCAAAGTGTGTTAAATCATCATCATCATCTTTATAATCACCAGCCCACAAGCAGCAACAATAGCAGCTAATCAAAGCCATTCTAGGATCTTTTAAATCATCATCATCATCATTATCATCAAACAACTTTGATCACCGAAAAACCTCCTTTAGCATTCAACCTTTAATATCAATCCTAATTATGATTAAACTGCTAATTATATCGCCTTTCTTCATACTCTCTCACCATTCATCTTCCTTACCTGTGAAAAGTCTTGACCTCCTGCGACTCATATTCACCTTCTCAAAGGGCAACAACCACTAGAAACCAAAATTACAGTAAACTGATCAAAACTGATTCGATGAGAGTAAACTGGTATCTGGAATATTTTTTAATTGTCATAACAATTCAATTTTTTTTCGATGTTTTCACCCTGCATCTTTCATCTTTACACTTTCATCCTCATTTACCTTTTATTTTAACCTCCATTTTTTTCTCTCAATTTAATTTCTTTTCCTTTTACCACCATCTCACCTAATTGTGATAGGAATTGAAGTTAATCAATCAAAAAAAAAGTGTTCTTTTCATTTTCTGCTTTTACCTTTCATCGAGCTGAGCTAACTAATTATACCAAATACAATCTTCATCAACATCAACATTGAGTTGTAACTTGTTTTCTTGCTCCCAAACACCAGCAACAATTTAACAACTAATCAACAATATTAATAATTTTTATTGTCTATGTATAGATGCTAATTATTATATCACAATTAAGTCAACACACTCTCACAATAAACTATATAACAAAAGTAAAACTTGTAATTAAATATCAATCTAAATAATTGTCACAATTTGTAAACAAAAACCTAAATATAAACACAATCAGCCCAATGAGAAACTTAAAATATCAACAGCAAAACCATAACATAACTCGTTGGACAAACAATCAGTTAATTGTTGATAAATGAATCGGAAATTTGCAGTTACAATCGTCAAATGGTAACAATTAACTTTAAATGGTTTTCCATATTATTATTTGATCGTAATCATCTGATCTGTTTAAATGGTGTTCATAAGCTAATGGTTGTGATAATGATACGAATATAATATCATCTGAACAATCATCATGAAATATACAAACAACTTCATGACTATTTAAGAAAATGGAATGATGATAATGATGATAAAATGAGTAGGAGATGATGATAGGAATGGAAGAAGGAAGAAGATGAAGAGTTGAAAGAATATGTAATTTATTTAATTTCTTTTTTTTTCTTCTCTTTTTCGCTCGTTCAAGGAAGGAACAAAATTCACAAACAATCTCATTTTTGGCCTGAATTTACGGGAAATTTTATTCAACAAACACCACACGATGAATAATTGAAGAAGATGATGATGATAATGATGAAGATGAAGATGGAGATGAAAAAAATAAGGTTACTTTATATCAAATATTATGTTTTCTTTAACAAAGAAAATACATTTTTTATTTCACCGAATGGATTTTTTTTCTGTTGATTTATCATCAAGGAATCAGGTTTGTTTATAATAAGATGAAATCTTTCATTTATCTTGTTGTTCAGATTGATGAGCAACTTTGACATGAATATCATGATAATCATCATCATTTGAATGGTCAGTCTGGTCAGTAAAACTTTTGGATATTTTGTTTATCACTTAAAAGGTCAACAAACAGACAAATATCTTTACCTGTACAAGGTTTTCTCTTGATAATCGTTAATTGTTATTATTTTACCATTCAAATGATAACCGTAAATTGTTGATTATCTTGATTATTATTTTCTTATTTTCTTATTTTCTTATCATTCTTATTGTTTGCCAATCATTTTGAATTTACTATCATCTGTTAGATAATTAATACGACTTGAATGGTTTATTATAACCAATTAGCTTTCATCAAACATTTGATTTCTTGTTATATTTCAAATGCTTTGATTGTTTTGTTTTGTTTTTCATTCATTAATTTAATTTCAACAACCAACAATTTTACTTCCTATTCACTTAATCATCACAACAATTAACTTTCTTCCCACTTAACTTTTTTGTTTCATTTACTCTCATATATTTACCTTATCGTATAATATATTTTACAAGTTATCTTTCACTGGCTCATTTGACAGCTTTTCCTATCATCTTCATCATTTTAATCATCAACTTTGTTTGTAATGAGATAATTGTTAGTTTATCTAATTAACTCAGTAGCAGTTAAATTGAAAGTCCTACTTACATAGGGTGAGAAATGGTATCAGCAAATGTAAATATAAAAGGGAAATCATGAAAACCTCTTAAAGTTCAAGCTTTTGCTCCCATAAACCATCATCTTCATCTTCATCATCAACATCAACAACATGAGGATGATCAGGATTTCCTATCAAATAGGTCGCTAGGTCGGTAAACATTGAAAATAACTTGAACTAAATTCATGTTTATCTATTTTTTTCGAGTTCCTATTCAATGTCTGCTGGAATATGATTTGATTGTTGATTGTTGATTAAACAGAAATCTGTTAACTAGTTATCAATTTTACTGTCGAAAAAAATCAATCTTAATTGTTAGTAAACTTTTTTTTATATTTTACGATGATCAGTTAATTATTAAGGGCGAAAAGTAATTGAATTTATTATCTCACTTTTGCCTTTGAAACTAAAGCAACAAATTTTATTTACCGTTAATTTGATTGTAATAATTTGATTTTTATTTATTATCATAGTGATTGTTGTTGTTTATTATTAATTTGATTGAGGTTTATCATGATTTGTTATATTCATTGATCAATTTTCAATTATGATGATGCTGTTAATACAATAATGACTGTAATCATGATTATGATTTACACTTAATTGTTGTTTTACTTTTCCTCAAGTTGATTGTTATTTCTTTGATTATAATCATTAAATTTTATTAACAAGATGATTAGTTAATTGCTGCCATTTTTTATATATAAATTACTCGGTAAGTTAATCAATTGAATAGAGTGAAACAATCAAATTAAGTTCAACTTACGATCGAGATACAAATTAAATGATTCACTTGATAGCGAAAAATATAATTTCAATGTTAATCAAGTCTATGAGTTTATCCTGATCATTTTTTTTATCATCAACTAATCAATTAACTAATTATAGTTTATAATGATCGGTATTAGATTAGCTGATCATCATGATTAAAAAAAAGTGATAAAACTGATCAATTCCTTTCTCATCATCAACTTTACATTGATACCGATTCTTTAATCATTACGGTTAATCATGAAAGCGGACTTAATTTTAGTCTCACGGTTGATAAACCAAATCAAGTTAAATCATCAACTAGCAATCAAATGAGAAGAAAAAATTAATTCTAAATCATTTCAATCAAATCAATGACATGAAAAAATAAAATAAATTAAACACTGATAATCAAAGTTGTATCTCTGATTATTGCGCCTTGTCAATCAACAAACAATTAGGTTCAAATTTAGTTGATTAAGGTTAAATCAGTTGGTTAAATCAAACCTTGTGGGCATAAAGATTACAAAGTTTAATGTGAACAAAAAAAGTTACAATCGATTTAAATTGTTAACAATTTTGGTCAACAATCAAATGAAGGTCAATAGCTTATCAACTTCCTATTGTTTACCATCATCAATGATTTACTTGATTGTTGATTAATTTCCATCTAATTGTTTGAAAACTCTTCGAAAAGATTAACCATTTATCAGATAATTTCCACCACAATTCATTTAAATTCAATTACTGAAAATGATTAAATTTCAATTTTGAGCTTTTTTTTCATTTATAAACATATTACAATCCAAATTGTGATCTATTCACAATTTAGATTTCAATCTTATTATTATCAATTTTGATTGTTGTAAATTTTAAATCTTTGACTTCTTATTGTATCATCATCATCCTTATGATTAGTAAATTAATTGGATATTATTCAGTTTACAATTGGTCTCTATCGGCACCATGTTGTATTATTAGGTGGTCAACTTGATGGGTCAGTCAATGGATTATCAATAATAATCTAAATGATACAATCAACTATTCATATTAATTCAGTTTAAATTTACAATTGATCCTTTAATTGTGCTTTGGAATCGTAGATTTATCATCATCATCCTCACTTTATCCTATTTCCATCATTTTCAGCGCTCATCATCATGAAGATTACAGGTAAACCTTTAGATTCGAAGTGATAGAAAAGCTAATAATCATTTCGATAGATTTTACATTGATCAAATTTAGATTTTATTTAATATAAATTAAGTTTGAGTGCTGAAAATTTCGTTACATTTGACCAACTATAAGTTTTTAGTTAGATTCGCTCAATTTTTGATTGTTTGGGTAGTGATGAGAGTTTCGTTGATATGAGTTAGTGTCGATGTATATATTTATCTTTATATATTTAAAGAAATATATATTATACAGATTAGATTAATCGTTCGAAAGATAATTTTAGATATTTTTTGATCGTTGCCTTCATCCCTGCACTAATTCATATGCAGTTTCATAGTACTGTGTACCTGGTGGAGCATGATAAGTGGGTGGTACATGAATTCCAGCATGATGTCTCATGTATTCCTCGAATTCAAGAAGTTTCTTCTTTGTTTCAGGAAGAGATGATTGTTTCTTGAGTTGTCCTCGATCTGGAGGAGGCCAAACGGGCTTCATCCGTCCAACGGTGATCGCTCGGTATCCAGGATAACCTGAATCTCCGTTAGATAGTTCAGAGGGATGCCAAGCATTCGAGGCTGGACCTGATCCTGGGGGTGGGAGATCTTGCATACTTCGATGAAACGAAGCTCTTGGAGGAGGCCAAACAAAATGCTTAGAACCTGAAAGATGATTAAAAGATAACTCATCACAATTAATTAATTGTTTGTTTTGATTGTTATGTTTATAGTTTTGTTTTTTTTTCGAATGAATAAAGAAAAGTGTTTGAATTTCTTTCACCCACTCTCTCTATTTATCTCTTAGTCTGCATTCTGAGATTAACTTTTCTCGGATCGAAGCCAAAGATTCATTTTCCAAGAGGTAAATTTACTGGAATTAGGATGAATCAAGAAAATTAACTAATTTTGCTCGAGAATTGATGTTTCAAGGCAACTCCTTCAACTCCTTCAATGCTTTTACTATGCAAATACTAAATTAAAATCAATGTCATCTATTAAACTATTAAATCTTTTGCCTAATTTCATGACTCATATTATTTGGCATCGTAAGTTTTTTACATTTGACTCCAACTCTTGTTTGCTGAAGCTTCACGTTGAGTGAAATTTCATGGGATCATCAAGTAAATTCTGTAAATCATTTTGAACAAGATTATCAAGGAATTCTGTTGACTCATATTCAGATTACTTGTCAACCTAATGAGTCTAATTTTGGATAAATTGAGAAATAATATTCACCTTCGGGATGAATGTGACCAGAGTTGAAACCAACTCTTGGTAATTGTCGTACTGATGATCGTTGAGGAGGCCATTGGACATTGGAGCGACGGGAACCAGGCTCATTGTCGAAAGAAGGTTTAACTCGAGTTACCGAGTGCACCGGGTGGGTGATGTAAGTTTGTTGTTTTCTTGCCTGAGAGGGTAATAAGTGATCAGGGTGTTCCACCTCAGCCTGTGGTAGAGTTTCCTTGACAACCCGATCGACCGGGTGGTAGCCTTTAAGGTCCAGGGGCTGTTTGAACTCTTTTGGGAATTGAACCACTCCACCTTGACGAAGGAGTGGACGATGTTCCTCTTCACCTAAATGTGATCCTTCGGTTAAATGCGCATTTGGATCACGAATTTTACGAGGAAATTGAAGGACAGTGGGTCGAACAAAATCACAAGCTTGAATTTCTTCACCAATATGAGTCGCTTCAAGGGGTTTCGGTGCGTTTGGATTTGGATCTTTACTTGGAAATTGAACCAAACCTCCTACATGAAGTATCAATGGTTTGGTTGTTCCGGATCGACTATTAACTTGATCGTAATTGTTTGAATCATAAAATTGTTCATACATTGGTTGTTGTTGTTGTTGCTGCTGTTGCATTTCCTAAAAATCAAACAGTAATTAGTATTTCAGTTGATTGATAAATTGATAATAATTACCTGGAGTCTCCGCTCCTCTTGCTGTCTATAATGCTCTTGCAGAACTTGTTGTTCGTATTGTTGTTGATAGTATTGTTGATCCATTTGTTGACGGAATTGATCTTCATCAACCATTTGAGGTTGTTGGTAACTTTCTTGTTGCATCATTTTAGAATTAGTTAATTGTTTAGGTTTAGGTTTATGTGAAGATTGATTAGAATTATTTTCAAGTTCTAATTCAAATGAAACTTGACGTCTAACAGGTTGAGATTCACCAATTAAAGGTTTACTTTTTGATTGTTGTGGAACAAAATTAACTTGAGAAATTACTCGATTTTGTTGATACTGTGGTTGTGGTTGAGGTTGATTGTAACTAACTGTAGATCCTTGTGGATTATTGTTATAGATTATTGGCTGAACGTATTGATTAACTTCACTCCAATGGGCTGAATCGATCGATGAAGGTAAAGATGAAGATGAAGATGATGGTCCAAAAGATGATGGCTTATTATTACCCCGGTGGTGAGCACTTTCCTCTAGAAACCTTTCCTCCTGGTAAATGGTGGACGATGAATACTCCCTTGAAGATTGTCGACTGGGAGGTTTTGGAGGAAGGCGGGATGTTATCGAAATACCCTCCTGACGAATGGTTGATCAAGTGTGTTAACACTTTGATTGAGAATTCAAATCAAGAAAACAAAATCAATATCGTGATGCCAAAGATGTCGCTCCAATGTAGACTTTTTCCAAATGAGATTCGTAAGTTTTAAAAGTTGCTCCAATGGTCTCTAGATCAAAACGAATAGAAAACGACAATGATAGGAAGAAGAAGAGAAAAATAAGAGAAAATAATAATTACCCAGAGGAAATTGATTTCGAGTGTAATTAGGTTTCGCTTCGAGATCGATGTGGGTCAATTGCTGTTGGTGGATCAACTAAAGTTAATTCTAAGGTTGGTGAAGGTAAACTGACGAGAATAGACAAAAGTGATTTGAGTTTTATAATTAAGTAAATTAGGCAATCAGAGAGAGAGAGAGAGAGAGAGAGGAGAGAGAAAGATCTTGGATCTGAATCGAATTAGGAATGACAACACTATGTTACAATTTGACTTCTAGACTGAACACTAACCACCTAGCGAATTAGTTGATAGAGTTGTTGATTGCAGAAATCAAAGGAAACTGAATTTATTTATAAATTCTAATCAAAAAAGAGAAAAGAATAAAATGTTTGATAATTACCCAGTTTTTTCTCTTCTTCTTTTTCTTCTCGGTAGAAGATTAAAGTCACAGAATTAAGATGCAAATGACGATGGGAAAGATAGAAAACAAAGTGAAAGATGACGATGGAGATGATGAGTAAGAAGAAGACGAAGACGAGGGAGAAGAAGAAGAAGATTATTATGATGATGAAAGAGAAACGAAGATAAATTCAAGTTAAAGATGGAATCTTAATTTTCGTTATTATTAAACCAACATAGAGATTCACAAGCTGAAGGAAAAGACAAACTTGGCATGGATTCGGAGGAGATTTTTCGAGTCGAACTGAGATGAAGAAAATTGAAGAAGACACTGAAGATGAAGATGACGAAGACGAAGAGAATGATGAAGGAATGAAGATAAAAATATTCTTCTTACAAGTGACACAGGCAAAAGAAAATAAATTAGAAAATAAAATCAAGTAGGAGGAAAGTAACAAATGAATCTGAATAACATGGGATAAAAATGGCTCTTCGTTTGTTACTAATTATAAATTGGGGTGAAACTTTTACGCTTAATCTTTAATCAATTGGTTATTATTTGACTAATCATCTTTCAGGCTGTGAACATTTAATCCTAATCTTCAACATTGAACAAGTTCAGTTAATCGTAACATGAGAAGAAATCACAATCCAAACGAAAACAATGATAATCATCATCAAAATTTATGGAAATTTAAAATTTTGGCACATTAATTGTCGACATTTTTTTGTTTTCATTTAGCTTGTCGGTGGAAATTAATTCGCACATCATTTTTCACTGATAATGTAACAATTTAAATCCAATTCAAGGTTAGTAAATTGATAATTCACGAATTAACTAATTGGAATAGTAGAGAAAAAGATTAATGTTCCTATTTTGATGTTGTGACATTTTTTTCTCAGTCTCTGAAATCGTTGGAATCTCTGATTGTCAGAGGAAAATAATTGTCACCATAACGATAATATCGTTGGAATAGTTTCGTTTTTTAATCACACACCTTTATGCTGCTGTTAAGCTGATTGCGAGTAAACAATTTAGATAACTTTAATTGTGCCCTATCGTCAATTGGTACACAGATTGATAGTAATTAACTTTAAATTGTCAGTCACTCATTTGGAGTCTATTTTTATATCTTAAAAGTTGAAATAAAATGGTTTTCAAGATGATCGTTGAAGATAAAACAAAAATTATTTATTTTAATCAAAGTGTAATTAAAATATCACCTAGTTGAAATTAATATAAACGTTAAGACAATCAGACCAACGGGTTAAATTATTTCAAGATAATTTAAGTTGAATTGTATTGCAGTTTTAACCGATTGTGGTTTATCTTTTGAATTGTTCACGAAATTGACTTGACACTTGATGGACATTCAAATTGTGCTCATTGATTAAACGCCCATGGATCATTTATAAATCACTGGATCAGTAAATCTGATCAATAAGTCGGATCTTTGGTTTTTAATTGAAGAATCATCTTGACCACAATTAAGGTTTAAGAGAAAGAAATAGAAAGACTTTAAATATCCTGATAATTAAACATAGAAATTGATGTAATTGTTTCCACCGGATAATTGGGTTATATTGCTTTTAGATTAATTCGTTTAATCATTTGGAATGTTACTTTGAATATTTTGATTTGAGATTTATAAGTTTTTCATGGACCACTTGATCATCGTCATCGTCAATTGTACATGCTAATCCTTTTTCAATCCATTCAGTGGCTTCTTTTGATCGTTTCAGTGAGATTAGTGTTTTGCAAATGTAGTAAATGTTTTGTTTCCATTCGGGTTTGATCTTGTATGCTTGGAGTAATGATTTCAAAGCCTCATCAGCGCTTGTCTCTGGTACTTGGGCGAATAGACTTGAGGCCAATTTCTTTTCTAACCAGGAAAGATTGGACACTTCACAAGCCCAACGACCAAGTAGATGATGGAGAGTCGCATCATCGGGTTTCATTTCTAAGGCAAAATCTAAATGTTTCTTGAATTCATAACCATTTTCAATCTTTTCCTTAGTTCCAACATAATCAGTTATCGATCCAATAGCGATTGCATACCATTTATGACTTTCGACACACTTATCATCTAATTTTAGAGCTTTTCTAGCACATTCGAGTTTCTCAAAGGCCAACTCTTTCTTTCGTTCTTTGTCTCCTTGCTTTTCAACAGCGGAACTGAGAAGATGACAAACTTTGGCTTTACGCCACATAATCTGAGCATTACAACCAAACTGTAAACAGAATTCAATCAAATCGTTAATTGGAACCCAAAATGAGCACAAATTTCTAATCATTCAATGACAAACAATACATCATAAGAATAATATTTACCTTTTCCTCCATTGAACATAGTTTATCATAGAGACTTTTAAGATTTGTCTTCGGATTGTCAATACAAGAGTCGATTTCTAAATAATAATCATCTTCCTTTGATTCAATTGGTTTACTAGAATTACCATTGGTAATTATTGGTTTGATATCTTCTACAAGTACCAATGAAACAAGAGGCTCAAAGCTTTCAAAGCTACTATGGTCAACGATATCCTCTCCATTGGTGTCCTTAACATCGGTCTGATTGTCATCTTTAGCTCTGATTATTCCAGGTTCATGGACGTTAACATTGGTATCACTGAGGTTGATTGTAAGAATAGAATAAAAAATTGTAAACAAATTAACATGAAAATTGAACAAATTAAACAAGTTTATACGAAGTAGAAAACAGCAACACAAACCTGTCATTGAAATCAAAAAACTCTTCCGTCTCATCGGATGATGTGTAAGGATCCGAGTTAATTGGTTCAAATCTTTTATCCTCCAGACTTAAACCCGATGAACGATGACGATTATGATTAAGGTAACGATGATGTTTAGGTGTGGTTGGGTGATATTCATTTAAACCAGAATCAACAGCATCCAATTGAGCCTCTAAATGATCAATGTCCAAGGGTTTTATTGAATAGGGTGATCCTCTCATGGAAGCAATCTTGATCTCTTCAACATCCTTTCTTAATTGTTCAACTGTCTCATTAAGTGTATCTAATTTGGATGCCAACAATTGACGAGATTCCTTCTTTCTCTCCTTTGATTTAATATTATTGTAAATACCAGCGACAGTGGCAGTCAGCGCAATTCCCGCACCAAAAGCAGCGATTACTGAAAATTTTTCCTTCCCCATTGGATCCATGCTGATGATTGTTTGTTGTTTAAAGAGTAATGAAAAAACAGAAAAGTAATAAAATGATGATAATTGATGATTGATAACAGTTGCTATTGTATTTTAGCAACCAATTAACCAAGAATCAATTAAGTAGTTGCAATAACATATTACAAATAAAAAGCAATCAATGTTTCCAATCCAACTATTGATTAGATATCAAGATGATGATCAACTGTTAACAATGAAAACATTGGCAAAAACCATCACCATGTTTTCATTTATTGGTATAAACAAAAATTACTTTTAATCCACATAATTGATTAGCTAATTTAATTTAAATTGTTCCATCCGATGGTCAACCTATTCTTGTACACAATTAGTAGGATGAAATTCACTGTTGAAAGATGGAAAACAATCAAATTTAATTGAGAAATTTAGTAAACACAAAATGACAATAAGAGTAAAGTGAAAGAAAGAAAGGAAAATGTTGGTTCTTTTTCCTGGTTCTTTCTAAGAGAGAAAGAAAGAGATAATGAGAGAACTTGTTTTCTCTTTCTTTTCTTACTTGATTTATTCTCTTCTTGTTAGTCATTATCGATAATTAGTTGATTATCGTTAACCAGAAAATCTGAATTAATCGAAAATTTTGATAATTAAGTGAATCATTTTTCTTGTTGAAATTGACGAGGCACGAAAACCATTGAAACTGTTAATTGTTCAATGGATTTAAATTGTTGATATTTTTTGTTTAACTTTCTTTTAAATCAATTGACCATCACAATTTATCTCTCTCATTGGTGACACAATTTCCCGATAAACTGAATCACAATCCAGGTCAATCAGCGATTGTAATCATTAACCACGATTTTAGCTCAAAGTGATCAAAACGATTCTTTAATTATTGATTACCAGTTGATAACCAGAAACTGGTTTTCTGGTCTCGATGAAGTAATTAAATATTTTCTTTCACAATTAAGAAACAAATATTTAAACAAACAAATAAAATCAACAGATCAACTCAATTTAACACTTTGTTTTATTTGATAAGTTCAATCTTCTATTGGATAATCAAGCAAATTGATTGAGATTTAAATTACGAAGCAAACAATTAACAATCAAGTGATGTTAATTGATTCATCTTCTCAGAGTTACCATGACTTTGACTTCCTTAGGGGCTGAAACAGGCATTCCAGTGAAATAGTCCAGGGGAATCTGCAATTTAAAGCCAATTTGATTCATGATTAAATTGTAATCAGTTAATTGTTGCACTTACCTTGGTATCAAATGTGGGTCTAAATTGATATTTGGTTAATAAATAAATTAGACAAATTTTAATCTCAACCAAAGCAAATCTCATTCCAATACAATTTCTTGGTCCAGCAGCAAACGGTAAAAATATATTTGTATCAGCAATTAAATTTGATTGTTGATTGTTACCATTTTTGTTGATAAATCGAGTTGGATCATAAATTGATGGATTAGGATAAAACTCAGGATCATGATTAATTGCGTAACAAGGGATGATAACCAAACTATCCTTGAGCAATTTAATTGTGCCCAAAGTACAATTACGATTAACTCGTCTCTCGATTCTGTTGTTTTAATAACAATTCAAATGAATCAATTAAAAGTGAATTAACATAGAATTGATTGTTATTTGTTATTCTTTGTTTTTTTCTTGCTGTTAATTGTTCTTGATTGTTGTTCTTACCTGGAAACTGGTGGAAAACATCTCAAAGCCTCCAATATGCAGCCATTCAAATAGTCGAGTGAATTAATCTCTTCCAGAGTTAATTCATTGCGATTTAATTGTCGACGCAGTGATTCAATTTCATCAACAATTAACTGCTGATGATCAGGAAATAATGATAAACAATAGATAATTGAACTTAATGAGGTTGATGTAGTATCATAACCAGCGATTATAAATAAAATCCCATTGTCAATTATGATTCTCTCTATTAATAGTCAATTAGATAATTAATATCATGTTTAATTGTAAAAAAACATTAGTCAAGAGATAAAGTAAACAATTAAATTAACTGTAAATCAATTTCCTGATTCGTTTCTTACCTCTTATTTGATTGTCCAACTGTTTATCTGTTAATTGGATATGAGACTCATCCAAGAGAGTTAGAAAATCCTTAATTGTTGTTGATTGTTGAGATTGATGATCAGCTGATGGTAAACGTGTTTTCGCTTTAATTGTTCTTATACGATGGAGCATTTTTTGCACCAGAGAATTCAAATAATTCAATATTTTATAATCGAACACGTAACCATTGAATAATTTAATCAAGTTCGGAAACCAGAGGAGAATCAGTGATTTAATTGAAAGATGTTGACCAAGGAATTGACCAACAATTAAAACCATTTCATCGGTTTGGGAATTGAATGAGTCGAGATTACGAATCCCGAATACTGTTGATGCCAACACGTCCAAGGAAAAGGTTCCAAACAAATATTTCATATCGACAATTTGATTAGTTTCTAATCGTTTATTTAAATTGTCAACTAACATCGAGCTGCAATCTTCAATTAAAGGTTTCATTTTTCTCAAATTATTCGAAGCAAAAAGTGGTGACATTAATTTCCGTGTCCGTTTCCATTGGTCATTCTCGAGTGAGAGTAAACTACGTCCAGCAATTTGCTTCTCATGATAAAACTTCTGAAACAATTTATTAGAAACACATTAATCAATCAATCAATCATTTCGAATCAGCTTCAATCAACTCACTCGATGATTTTTGAAATTATCAAATTCAGTAACTAGAACTTTCTTAATCAGTTCGGGATCACCAATCATTAAACACGGACGAAAACCATCATAAACCCTAGAAATTAATATTATAACAATTAAGGAGATGATTAAGATTTAATTGTCCGATCCTTACCCGATTATACGTCCATGTTTATTGTAAGCGTCTAAATCAGCAAAGTGAACTGGTTTTGATAATCGATTGTAAATTGTATTAATTGCATTAGGAATTCCTTGCCGAGACCAGTAGGTTAATCGATAATGTAGCCAAACAATTAATAAAACAAGCAGAACAATTATAACAATTGTAACAATTATCTCCATGTTGATATTATGCTCCACTTTTGATAACAATTAACTAATAACATATGATGTTTACTTTAGTTTTACAATAAGTTAAATGTTTGATTTTGGGATGAAAATTCAATTGACATTAAAATCAAGTAGGTAAAGGATTCAGAAACTATTTACAGTTAAGTTAATTGTGACAGTTTATTTTTGGAAAATAATAATTACAAAGGTATTCATTGTTATTTATTGTTTCGTCTCACTAATATATGCACAATTAATTGTTTTCTTGTGTTTAGATGATTTGTTTTCGCTCTGTAATTTCAGGAAATGAGAGTTAACTGTGTTCGGACAACAATTTGATTAATTGGAAATGCTAAACATCAGTAATTTATATAAATCAATATATTGTAATAATAATAAAAAAAACAGTTTTTGGAAACAGTTTTTTGTTTGTTAATAAGTTTCCTTAATGAAAAAAATAATCATGTTACTATTAATATATAAATCAAGAAGTAAAAATTGTCACCATTAATTAGAAATTAGCAATTAAATTGATAGCAAAAATTGTGAATGAGAAAAAATTAGATTGACTTTGGGAGAGAGAGAGACAAAACTTTTTTTCTGTTGTTTGTAGAAAACTATTCGAAATGATTTATTTGTTTCTTTTCTTTTCTCGTCCAAATTCAGGAGAAATTAGTTTGAATGTGTACCATCATCTATCATCAATTCCACTATTAATTTAATTACTTAAATCAACTTTTGTTTCGCGTTTGGCAGAGATTTAGATGGAAGCCAATCCCGTATCTCGATTAAGTTGTAATTCGGATCCAGAATCCATCCTTGTTAATATCAATTGTTCGTTGGCTAATAGAAATAAAAAAGAATGACAATTAATTATTGTTGATTAACAAAGATAATATTTGATTGAGTAGATAAGATAAGAGAGAGAGAGAGAGAGAGAGAGATCATGAATATGAAGATGCAGATTCTGCTAATGAACTAAACGTACACATGATAATAATTATGAAAAATTGTACGAATGAAACAGAATAACTAACTAATGGTGATTAAGATAATGATAGTGATTAATAACAAGAGGATAAAATTTGATCTTTTTTCTCAAATGCTTTTTAAAAGAGATCAATATAATTTTGTTTTCTCTTTTTCGTTTATTCTCATCTCTCTTTCTCTCTCATACAAAAACAAAAAGCTAATCTTCGAATTATCATGAAACTAATCATCATTATAATCAATTTCTTTCTTCACAAAACTTATATTTCCTTACTAATTAAATAATCTTGAATATTGCGTAAAATTTGCTCTCAGGCCATTTGATTTCTCTATTGGAAACAAGTTTAGTGAAAATATACTAAAATTATGCTACTTTTTGTACGGCAATATGATATTGAACTTATTTGATGTTTCTTCATCTTATTATACATGTATCTCACTCATTCTCTCACTCTATCATCTTCTCTTCCTTAGATTTTTCATCTTTCATCTTTCATCTCCTGATTCTTGATTGCATTACGATTTTATCTATTCTCTCATTTCTCTAATCAAACCTAAAGCACACCCACATATCACAAACAGCTTCTTGAATAGCCCTTAATTAAGAGGTGCTTTTGTGTTAGATTGTCTTTCGTCTATAGAAAATAGTATATCTTTCTAATGGTTGTTCTAATCAATTTCTGTTAATTACAATTAAAATACACAAAAATCAAGTTTGTCTGTATTTTGATTGGTTCGATGAATCAACAATATTTCATTTTTATCAATTAGTTGGTAGATTAATTGAATGATAAGACTCTTGACACTAGATTTCAGCTAATCAGCACGATTTAAGATTTCAAAACAAAAAGATTTGATATGATTTACACTTGGAAACATTGGAATACCATCAAATGTTTTCACAACATGATGAATATCATATTGTAGTCGATTTGAAATTGAATAATTTCTTACCTCTATCTACTTTCATGAAGAAAATAGATTCTTCAGGGAAATTCCTGATAACCTCATCTGTCATGAGAACATGAATCCCGGATGGACCTTGTAAACATATTCGATTAAAATGACAATCATTGGAACACAATATCACGGATTCCAACTTTGTCCTTAACTCGACAACGCTAAGATTTTCTAGATAAACAGCTCGAAAAACCTCGTCCATGGGATTGCACACGTACAAAGTTAACTTGGGTTTGACTGATCGAACATGAAGTGCGTTGAATAGCCTGATACCGTCAGTTAAACCACAAATCTGAATGAGATCATTACGTGTGATCTTTAAAAGATCTGAACCAGAGAAATTCGAAAATGTTCTAATGTAAGAATCAAATCTATTCAGGGCTAACCAGTTGGCAGTTTCTTCGGATGATGCTTCCGAAGAGAGGATGATGGCATTTGAGTTGCTGGATGATGAAAAAGTGGAATTGTTACTATTGGTAAAACCTGATTCTTGTTCTTTATCGTCTGACAAAGATGGAGACCTTTTGGGAACAACATTGCTGTTTTTCGCTTCCGGCGAGTTTTTGATCTTCTCATCTAAAACTCTCTCATTGACTCCTCCTGCTCCTTTTCCACCAATAGATGATATCATTACTGAGGTAGCGATTGCTGTAGGTGAAGATGGTGGTGAACATCTAGATAAATTTACAGTGACATTATTATTATTACAGTTATTATTGTTGACACCACCTCCAATGCCACCAGCACTGCCTACCACTGAGACTGCAACAATATTATCACAAATGACTCCATTATTATTGGTACCATTGGAAACTCTATTACCTGAGTTACCATTAGTATTTACAGAGTTGGTGGTTGATGAATATAAACTGTTAATTGGATAATCTGTGAAGGCAGTTCGTTCAGAAGAGGGTTTAAACTTTTCTTGTTCACTTTGTGGACGTTTACTCATCTTCTCTCGGTCAGTTTTGTGTTTCCTATCTGCTCCTTTAGGTTTGAACACTTTAATTTGACATGAAGCTGCATGTAAGATGGTCGATGCGTCGATTTTACTACAATCATTGAAAGCATGGGTCTCAATGATCAAACGGAAAGGTACTCCTTTTTCACCACCATGTTTTTTGGGGGTGAATTCGGTGCTAATACAATTAACCTTGACAATTAATAAGAAATGGATGAGGTGATGAAAATAAAAGAGAAGAAAAGTGAAAAGATTAGCTATATGACGTTCAACTTGTGTTCATTTGCTACCGTAATGATGATCATGTTCATTGTGGATGATGATTATTTACCTTGACAAAAACTCCAGTGTCTTTAGTGGGTTCCCAAAGAAATTCACATTTATTTATTTCTTGAGAATTGTGTTGATTTTCATAAATTCCATAAGAAAGTGGAATGTCGATTTCTAATATTCTCTCAGATTGTCGGGATTGTTTCCATTGAAGAATCAAATCTTTTTCCATATATTGAAGCCTTCGCTCGTGAAATCCTATTCTAATTATACTTTTCAACATTTTACCCCTCAAATCAGATAAATCACCAAGTTTTTTAAGATTTATTTCATATGATTGACCTAGAGAATAGAAGAAAATTCAACAGAAGAAAAGAAGAAGTCAAGTATAAGAAAGAAAAGAAAATGAGAAGATTAGTATAAACAAGAGCCAGTGTACATGTAAGAGAAAGAAAAGAGAAACTTCATTTCAATTTTCTTTCTCCTAGTAACCTGCTATTCTAACCTTGGTTGAGGTATGTCATGGTTTCCTCGTTTACTTTAGTGGCCATTGATGTTGGAGCTTGAAGAAGGTATAAAAAATCATTTGATTGGCGAATTGATGTTGGTGATTCGGGTTCATGTAGTGGTGAAGTAGCGTTGTGATTTGAATGCTGATCATGATGCTGCGGTTGCTGCTGCTGCTGTTGTTGTTGACGGTGATGTTGTTGTTGATGTTGATGTTGTGTTTGATGATGGTGGTGGTGGTGATGATGATGATTACTGGGTGTAGTTGAAGTAGTTGTGGTTGTACCAGCTGAGGAGGAAGAAAATGGATTATGGTTGGGTACGGAAAGTATCTGTGTAAGAACAGAGGATGGACTTGATATGGCTGTGGATGGAAATGATCGCCCTGAATGTGGTAAAATTGAATAAGCTGAGGTAGTTCTTAAGTCAGGAGCTGATATACTGTGACGTTGTTGGCATTTCATTTCACTTTTACATTCCTCATGTTGACAATCACCTTCTGAACCTCTCTGGATAAGACCATGATGTGCAAAGATAAATCTCATCGAATCAGAATTACATGTTTCCCGCTCATTGCTGAAACAAAATCTTTTAATAGTACTTGTCATACTTTCCTCATCGATTCCATTAGCTAAACGATTCTTTTTCCTGTGAACAATAATGTCCGAACCACGTCCATCATCTTCAAGTGAGTTATTTTTCAAACTTGGTAAAGCGAGAAGAGTTTCACTCATGTTAAATGAAGACGTTCCCAGTTCCATTCCAAGACCTGAAAGACTGCCATCAAAATCAGCTGCCAGAGCATCGTCGATATCATGCCAGTGAACTGCCGTGGACATGATTCAATTTACTTGGAATAACAATCAAAATGATCTTAGATTTTGTAGTGGGTAATGTTGATGTTATTGTTGTTTTTCTTGGTTTATGGTAAAGGTGAAAAAGGCAACACTAGGCAACACTAAATCCCCACAAACACGGGTCCAATTAACAGCTGAAATGATGACCAGGGTGAGAACCAGGAATTAGGAGGAATAGAAAAACTTAAAACATAAAATAATACACAAAAAAACCCGATGATCATCCGACTGATCCAAAGTCTTTGGTTAATTTCATCAATTTTTGATTTCGATTAAAAATTATTGTATCGATTGTACATCGAAATAAGCCGATTATTCAGTCGTTGGAAATCATCTGGAGATTTAATTAGCTTCAATTTCTTGGCTTAGAGATGGAATTTTGTAAAAAAAGAGATGAATGAAAGAGGGAAAAAGAAACAAAGTGAAAAAAGAAAGAGACCAGCTGTTGGTTTTGGCTGATTCTTCAGAGAAAAAAGCTAATCAACTTTAATTGGCTAAGCTGGAACAGCCGTTCAAGTGGAAATCGAACTTTTATCCGAATTCTTTTAAAAATCATTCGAAAAAGTAGATTTTAAATCTTTTGCCCATTCGAACAATCGATTATTGCATGAAGAATATCGAAAAATATCGATTATTCGTCTAAACCTTTTTGTTTACGTTTTGAGAATTTACATAAATTTTGTAAGTTGTTATCAGTTATCTTTTAATTAACTTTATTTTCTTGATTTTTATCTCTTGATTATCAGTTTTTGTTGACTACACCAAACATGTTTCGATCACAATCTAATTTTGGAGAAGAAGGTCAGATACGAGATCTTCTTGGTCTTTTCAAAGAATGTATCATGAAGACTGGTGAAGATTTGAACATGTTGGAGAATAAATTTGATAGCAGTTTGAAAAAGAATAGCAAATCTAAATTGGAGAGCAATATGAAAGTTCTAGTTGCTTTAGAGAAACAAACTGATCTTGAGAGAGATGCTGCGTCCGAAGCAATGAGCAAGGTGAGTTATTTCGATGGGGTTTTCTATTAATCGTTTTCCTTTTGTTAATCTCTTTCTTTTTCTGTCCCTATGTCTCACTAGATTTCTTCCGCTTTCATTGATTTGAACGATGCCTGGTCGGGCTGGGACGAACAAGGGTGGGATGAGAATGGAGAAAGTACTCCCAATTCCTGGCCAACAGAACGCCCTTCAAATCCTGAATTTGATAAAATTCTCGGTGATGAACAATTTGATCTTTTCCAAGAAACATTGAACAAAATCAAAGAATCTCGTAAATCAAGTCGGAAACAAGATCCAAGAGTTAAGGCATTGAAAACACTTTTATCAGCGAAACGGCCAAGTACCAACTCCAATGTTGCTAATGACGGCGATGAAGAAGATGAAGAGATTGTGGCATCAACTGAAGATACAATTCCAATTGATCCAATTACAAAGAAAAAAATTACAGATCCGGTTAAAAATGTCAAATGTGGCCACATTTACGATAAACATGGAATGACAGATTTCCTGAAAGCCCCTAATCCAAGGTTTGTATCCGACATAAATCCTTTATTATCTTACAAATATAATCTAGTCAAGATCAAAGTATTTGTCGATCAAAGTTTATCTTAAAGCCATACTAATCGTATTACAATTTTCATTGTTGATTTTAAATTTTCAACGTTTTTCTCATTCAGATGTCCATACATGGGATGTGTCAATAGAGCCCAGATCACCCCCGCTGATCTTATTCCCGACGAAGAACTGAAGCAAAAAATTGAATATCTAATGGCAATGGAAGAAGACGAGGAAAGTGAATCCGAAGCGGAATAGATTTCCTAATATTATGCCAACCAAATATTATTTTCACTGCCATAACCTAATCATTTATACCAAAAAGAAAATATATTTTTCGTACCTGTTATTGCTAATAATCAATACAATCATTTTCCTTGGTCTAGTCTAACCAAGTTCCAATGTACCTTCAAGTTGATGGACCGATTCCAAGATTCCTATCATCATAAACATTACTAATTGAAACGCAGAGAGAAAATGACACAATTCATTGAGAGGTTAATAGTAGATCGAAAGAGAGATTTAAGGAATGAAATGGAAAAGCAAAAAGAAAAATGAACGATAAATATTTGTAAACACTATTTGTATTCTCTTGTTAATCTCTTCTTTTCTTTAAAGACCAAATCTTAATTAATTTATAAGCGAACACAAATTGAGCCAAATGAACTTGTAAGGCAACAAGTAGGAATCCATACCAGATGACTGCCAGTGGGAACTTGTTCCAAACATGAGTGACCTTTGAAACCTCTCGAGAGTCAACGTAAGACCAAAAATCGGAGAAATAGATTATGAGGGCATAGAAAACGGGGAAAATAGCGGTAAGGTTAAGGGTGAAAAGGTAAAATTTCATGGAAGCGGCATTGTTTTTCCTCATCGCTTTGCGAGCAATGAAATTGAACAACACAGATAAAGTCCATATCCATTCCCATAGAAGAGGCTTAGGTATATAAAGTTGTTGTAATTCCAAGATGAATACATCAAAACGATCTAAAATATCATCTGATAATTTAGCCAACATCAAACCACACAACAAATAGTGCATAATAATTGACCATTTCAACCTTGATTTGTTAATAACACTAAAAAAAAGGATAGAGAAACAAATGTAAACATAAAAAGTAAAATGAGATCAGTGAGTAAATAAACAGCAAAGAGAAAATAATTTAATGAGTTTAAATTGTTACACCCGAAAGATGACCAAATGGGCCATAACAAGTGTTGTAAATTAATTGTAATTACCTTTGTGAATAGTGAAGGGCAATTGTTTGGCGATGAAGATGATCACTTCCATCAGTACCTTGAACCATTGGTCCTTTGGAAGCCATTTTTTTATGAGTAAATGTGATGAGTGTTTCTGCTTGTTTGGTGTTGATCCGTTGAAGATGAGATTAGAAAAAGAATCAAAAGTGATTTAATTGATTATGAATCACAATTAACTTGGAATTAAAAGACAAAAGCGAGATTGCCTTTCTAACAATGATGATGGCAGTGGTGATGAAGATGATGATAGTTGGGTGAGCAAAGTGATGATGAGGCAAACATTAAACACCATTTAAGATACACGTTGATTGAAGGTGAATCATTTCTGTCTTTTTCTTAATTGTTTTCCATTTAATTGACCACAATAATTAGTCTTTAAGAAATACAAGTAAATCACTTCACAAAGAAAAGAAAAAAGAAAAGAAAAGAAAAGAAATTTAGATTGGCAGGGTGAGAATAGAAACCCTTTTGTTTATCAAGCGTTTTCTCTTTCTTTCTCTTTCTTTTCTAAACATTCTCTTTCTGCTCTTTCTTTTACTCTCTTTCTTTCTTCCCCATCTTCCTCTTCTCTCTCTCCTGTCTGTAAATATAAATAGATTGTTCGAGTTCCTGGCACAGAATTTTTTTCTAATTCTTTTACAGAGAGAAAGAGAGAGAGAGATTTTTAGTTGGTAGAGCATATCTTTGTTTCGAGTGTTAAAAGTAAGTGATTAGGATTATTGTGATTAACTATGACGGAGGAAAAGTTATCACAAATAATCAATTGATAATTCAACTCGAACTGGACCCAGTTAAGGTTAATTGTGATAGGCTGATAGAGATATGAAACTTTTGCTAAATCGACATTCACTCAACGATTATGTTGATCTCGTGTGAGATGAAATAAACTGTAATCATGTTTTTCAATCTGATTTTGGTTCACGAAAAAATTGATTGGTCCTTTATGGATTTAATTTTATACTAGTGTTGAATAAGTAAAACACTAATTGGTTGTTGACTAATTTGTAGTTAATTAGTCGTGTTCATAAGATAAATGTCCAACAATTGAGTTTGATAGTTCTTTGGCAACTTTCTCATTGGAGGCTGCTAATATCCGTCGAGAGAGTAAATTAAATGGTCCACCTTCGGGGTCGATAACAGTTCCACCGGCTTCTTTGATTATAATGGCACCAGCGGCTAAATCCCAACAATGTAAACCATACTCGAAATAAGCATCAACGTACCCGTTGGCCAACATGCAAGCGTTAAGAGCAGCCGATCCGAGGGAACGGACTCCTTGGCATTTCCAGCCGATTGCGGCTAAATTGCCGAAGTAAATTTTCTGATGTTCATCGGTCCGATTGCTGCCAAGTTCATTGATAAGCAAAGCTGATTTCATCGAGTCACAGGGTCGCACATGAATTGGAATACCGTTACAATAAGCTCCTTGACCTTTCTTAGCGGTGTACAATTTATTCAGAAATGGTGAGTAGATACAACCGAAGACAATTTCTTTACCCACAGTGAGGCCAATTGAAACACAGCAGAATGGGAATGTATGGACAAAATTCATGGTTCCGTCGATTGGATCAACAATCCATGTTGGACAATCGGTAAGGTCAACTTTTCCAGCGAAAGTTTCCTCGCCAATGAATCGATGGTCAGGAAATTTTTTCTTCAACTCATCAAAGATAAGCTTTTCAACGGCTTTGTCAGTTTCGGTAACCAAATCAACTGGAGTCAATTTAGTTTCAATATTAGTATTACGACCGACAGTCTCTTGCATCATCAGTCCAGCTCTTCGGGCTAAATCAATGGCAACGGTTTCACATTCTTTCAATTGAATTGGATCCATAATGTTGACAACTAATTAGAAAAGAAATGGTCAAGGTGATTAGTAATTCTCTTGAAAATTAGCTGAAAATACAAATTACTTACATTAATGACTTTCGTAAGAGTAAAATTATCAATGATTTAATCCCAATACTTGACGAATACAAATCTCTATGATTAACCTAAATGATAATCAAAATGAAGAAATCAAAGGTTGAACCAAATAATCAACTGGTTAAAACAATAGAAGGTAAGTCTCAATTAGCAGGAACTTTAGACTGTATCAATGCTGAAAGAAAATTGAATCAAGAGAATCAATTGAAAAACAATAGAAAATGATAAGATAGGAAATGAAAATCGATTAGTTAAATGAAGAGAAACCAAATCAATGCAGAAAATCAATACACAGAAAGAGCCAAAGAGCAATAAAAGATTCATATAAATGACAATCATCAAAATTAATCCGATCCATTAACCGAATCACAGCAATTTAATGAGAAATTAATATTCTACTAATTGTCAACTGTCAATTGAAGCAATTACATTTCTATCAGTCATCACAATCAAAGATTTCACTGCGAATGAGACAAAATAAGAAAATAAACTCACCGATGGAAGAACTAAATAAATTAATTAGATGTGAAATTTCCCGGATAAAGAAATTAAGAAAAATAGAAAATTAATTAATTGCTCAACGAAAATGAGTTGATCATGATTCAGATTAAAGGGAAACAACTGTTTACTTTTTCGTTCGATAGTATCGACTAATTTTCGATACATTGTTTTCTCTTCCAAGAAAATTAGATTAACTTTGACAACAATTAACGAAAGTTCAATTTAGTTAATTTGTAATCAATTAATTGTTAAATCTACAAGATCAACTTTTTCTCAATACATTTATGTTTGTTTTTATAAGATGTTTATCAAGAGTTTAATACATGTAATTGTTAAGTGTTGATATTTGTTAAAGATGATGAGTGATGATTATGGGCTCGATAAAGTGATTGGTTGATTACTCGAGCCAAAAGTTTTAATCATTGATCGATTTAAAATGCTCGAACATTAAACAAAATGATCTCTCAGCTGATTCTTTAATTGTTGTTCCCATGGATCTGCGGGATGTAACTGAGCTTCTGCCAAAAAAGTTTCTTCAATTGCTAAATAATGGGACTTTAATGTCGGCATGTCCCAAACAATCCCATTACGACCTTCAAACACTATTCAGAACCACATAATATTAATTGTTGTACTTAGAATTAAAAAAGTGATTGTAGAAAAGTTCAATTGTTGAAAGATTTTTGTTCGTTATTGAAAATTTATTATCACACCGAAGCGCAAAGATTTGTAGCCCACAGCGGAGCAACTGAAGTTCCTTCTCACGGAGGAAATTTGCTCCAGACAATGAATGGGATTTGAAAAGTACGATTATCAAGTTCGATTTAGGGAAAATTTTTAATTTATTGGAATTGAGAAATCTACAGTATCGTCATCTAGTGGAAAAGAAAATCAAGTCTTTCGTATGATGGAAGAGCGAAGAATATGAAAAATTAATAGATTCAATTAGCGTCGATCAATAGTTACGGAGATGGTAAAACTGTCAACAACCACCGACAATCAGTCCATCAGCTGCTGATCCAACAGCGATACCAGTTCCACCAGTGGATCTGTTGATACCTCCGATCAGCCTCTTCTGTTTATTGGGTGTCGTTGGTGTGGACGAATTAGTATTCGATGGTGGAGAACCAGTATTACCTTCTGGACTTCAAGTTCACGTTGGTCGTATTATCGAGAGGCTTAAGAATATTTCGCACCCTCAACAAGATTACATTTGCTCAATGAAGAATTTAGTTGAGGTCAACTTATTATCTTCGAGATAAAAGTCAAAACTTTGAATTTCTTCATATTTTGTTTGCAATTGTAACAGTAAACATAGACTACTGACATTTGCATTGAGTTCAACACCTTCCAAGGTAACAACTTGTTCGTCTTCCGCATCCTCCTCATCATCTTCTTCGTCGTTAAGTTATTGTCACTTCGAAGGAAAAATAGATAACAACTTAAATCGAAATGGAAAGAACAAGGAACTATGCGAACATGCGAATTATTAATCAATATAGTAGAGTTTCTACTTCGACATAAAAGAGAAAAAGTCGAAAAATTGAATAAATCGCTTCGATTTTGATTAATTCGAGTAAAATCGTTAATCATGAAGCTTCTTTCATTCTTGCTTCGAACTTTTTTCTAACTTGTCACTTTTTACCTAAATTCTATTTATCTTTAGTTTGTTGACTAATTTATTAATAAATATAAACAATTTAACGACTACAAACTATAAAATCAATACAGATGAAGAATCGCAGTCAAAAGTTATATACAAATTGAAACTATTAATAATTAAAATGCTCTACAATTAACATAAACGAAACGTGCTAAAAATCATTTGATCTGTTTCCATTGTGATGCTGTTGATGCGTTCAAATTACTGACCAGAACACATTAACCCTGGAAATGGAGGAAAATCAAAATGGCCGATTGGTTGATGATTGTTGATGAACTGATCTAGATTCAATCGATGTCCCTATTAATTATCCCTTTCAATTGATTCAGCCAATATGAGGTCATCCATACGTTTGAAGGCCAACATCCTATTGAATTATCTCGTTAATCAAATGATTGTGACAAAAGGCTGTCGCTTGTTTACATTAATTGTTATATTGTGTTGGTTTACAGACAAAATTTTCCCTCTTTCTCAGCGTCATCATCATTTATATTTGGGAAACACCAATAAAGACAGAATTGGATTCAATTCAAAATGAACTTATTGATAAGGAAACAAGAAAGAGAGGGAAAAACAGATTAGATTGTTCAACTCATTTTCACGACAATTAGGTAATCATCTCTAATTACAATAAAGTCTAACAATCTATCATCAATTACATAAACACCTAAATGTGATAGATCACAAGATGATTAATGGTAAAGGCAATTTTTGTGACATTTGATTTACATCCTTTTCTCACTTATTGCAACAATTTAAATGATGATTTTGATCTGAAAGATAATTGTCTGTTCATATAACCATAATTGTTAACAATTAAAATGATTCTCGGGAAAAATATAAACCAAAGGCAACGTATTCATCTAAATTTGCAATTGTAAAATTACATTCGTCTTGAGGCAAACCCATCGGCGAAATCAAATCAACGATAATTAAGCTAACAATCAATCAAGAATCTAACAAATTTTTCGTAAATGATTAGAAAATCATTTTCTAAATTACCTGTAAAAGTTAATTGTTATTTAAATACAAACCAAAGATTAACTCTAATTGTGATGAGTAAAGTAAATATTAATAAATTGTTTGGTTGTAAAAACTGTAATTTGATTTTACTTTAATTGAAACAATTTAATACTTTCAATTGAGAAGTTGATTGTGAATGAAAATAAACAAGTTAAATTAACGATTTGACCTGAATTACAATTTGTTGATTTCGGAAAGTCCAGAAAATTGAATGAAGATTTGAAAGGGTCACTACAAAAATGAACTTGGAATTGAATCAATTATGTTAATTGTTGTTGGTTAATTTTAATTATTTTTTTTCCTTTAAATAATCATAATTGTTAATATTAATAGTAGAAAACAATTGTTCTGGACAAACAAATTATTCTGCTAATTGTTGACTAATTGGTAAGCCTTTTCTTTACATTTCTGACCTCATTTTAATTGAAACAGTTAATTGAGCTTCGATTTTTGAGATTTTGGTTAATCAAATTGATTATTTGTTTAATTGTTTGGGATTTTACCAGAAAGTTTTCACCTACAATTTACACTTTAATGGTAATGATCTAAATTTCTACACTACATTGAAAACTAAATAATAATCAGAATGAATTAATTGTCATTAATTAACGACGATGATGTTACCATTTCCAAGGGTAAATGTAAAATTAAAATGAGTGAATTAATTAATTGATCATTAATTAGACTATGAAACTAGTTAACTAACTGTATTTTTCTTGATTATCATGATATGATGGTTATGGTTTTGTGGATGAATGTCAACAATTAAACTAGATTGTTGAATGATTAACAATCAAAGAGTAAAACTTATTGATTGCAATTAAATTTCTCATTTATTTAACGAAAAACTAACAAATAATTTTGAAAGTTTTTCCTCTCAAATTATTAATCAAAGATCATTGACATTTAATTGTAATATTATCAAATGATTAAAGACTTTACTTAATTAATCAAATCAATTGAGTAAGAAAAAAACAAGGCAACAACAATTTAAAACAGTAAAAAAGTTAATTTAACTTTTAGATTAACAATTTACTTCTCAGCCGACTATTAATAAGACACAGTTAATTATCAACAATTTAACTTGTGTATTAATGTATAAATAATAATCATGATTATTAAAAAAGGACAAGAAAATGATTAAGAAACAAAAAACACACAATCAAGGATAAATTAAAAAAGTTACGATTTAATTGTTAATAAATTAAAAGAAAAAAAATTTCAATAACTCAAAGCAATTTAACACGTAACATTTAAATAATAATGATTGTAAACAATGAAATTATTGTTGATTACGTTGATTAGTTTATTCCTTGCAGGTAAATTGATCACCAAAAATATTAATCAAATTTCAATCCCTTAATTGCTAAGTAATCACAGCAATCGAACCCCAAACCTGAGATATTTACAATACGATCCCTGTAGACAGACAATTAAGACAATTAAGATGATGACGATAATTTTTTTTTCTTGATTACTATCAGTTGATTTATGATTAAACTATGTTCTTGTGGGGAAATACCAATGTTTAATTGTTAATTGTTTGTATCAATGTTTCATCAATTGGCTTTCTAATTTTCAATCTCTTCTCGTTCATTATATTTTTACCTCTTTGGGTTTTGTTGCTAAAGAAACAACAACAATCATGTTTACAATCATTTTCTTAATTGTTGTTGTTTGTTTAATCATTAATTGTGATCATGGTGATAACTTTTCTCTCTTTCTACAACATGATAACCTCCGAACCTTGGATAATAATCGTCAGTACCATCGGGTTATTCCAGATAATTTTCTGTGTTTTTTGTTTTCTGATTCTTCTCAATGTTTTCCCTTCGATTCGGAAGGAAATTGTTACTTTTTCTATTACTTGGCGCTAATTGTTAGTAACTATTAGTTGATTATCTTGGGTTTTCGAGGTAATATGGATCGACGATTTTGAACAGTTAATGATTATATTAATCACAGTTAACGATGGAAACAAATAGTAGCAAATAAAATTAATCACCTTTGAAGGAATGAAAAAGGAAGAAGGAAATCAAATTGATTGATTGTTGACATTTTCCAATCAATTTCAATGATATTATTACAAGGGAACAAGTTAATAGATTACAGGAGACAATTAACTCCTCTTACAATTAACATTATTCTCATAGTTTGATGAACTGATGAAAACATGGAAAATGATTATCAAATTAATTTGATAATCATTAAGGTTCACAATGATTTCTTTATTAGTATGATGTTTAATTTTAGAGATTTATTGATATGAATTGACAATTAAAAGAAAAAAAAAGTTTCAATTGTTTTCGTGTTCATTTCTTTATTCTTATATGATATTCAAATGATTTAATCACAATTCGTCAAGATAATTAACCAGAATTAGATGAGAATCAAAGTTTATTACAAAACGAGAAAAGTGGAAAATGATTAATTCGATTGAAAAGTTTATTATTAA